GAGGGGGAGCAAAGGAAGGACGGGACCAGTCCAGACCAGAATAGAGGGCCAGCCTCCTTGGGGACTATGCCAATCTCCTTCCAGAACCTGAGGTGCCCTGTGCCAGCATTATTTGGGATATTGGGGAAAACCATGTTTGTAAAACAGGGCTGATGCAGCAGAGGGTGAGAGCAGGATGAGCCTGTATCTTCAGAGTAGAAGCAGGGGTTGGGTTGACATCTGCAGTGAGGGGTGTCACCAGGCTATCCTTTCCCCTGACAGGGCTGAGGTTGGGGGTGCTACAGGGTGCAGGTGCTCACCCCCTTGTTCTGTGGACCCCTGAGAACCTTGGGGCTGGCAGCACTTTTCCTGTATGCAAAAATGCTGCATGATGTGATGGCTGGGGAGGGCAGGTTGGCCCAGGTGAGCCCAGTGTGGCACCCAGAGCTGAGGCATCAATACCCTTGTTTCTGGCATGCCCTGAGCTCTGGCAGGCTTAGTGGGATGCCCTGGGCGGGAAGGGATCAATGGCCTGCAGGAGCAGGTCCTGCCATCTGTGACGGATCCTGTATATGCCTGGTTGGATCCTGCACATGCACCTGGGAGCTGCTGGAGGGCCCCAAGGCCCCCACACTTAGGGGGTTGAGGTCTGACCTGGAAAGCCCAAGGATACCTTGAAGCCCCCAAACCTCCTTCCCCACATCAGTTCCAGTGCTGTGAGAAAATCACTACTTGCTTTTTTTTTTCCCTCCTTTTTTGTTGGGATGAATCTGTGTCCTCTGTTGCCCTGTCCCAATGCCAGTGCTGTGCCACAGGGTCCCACATGACACTCTGGCACCCAGCATGGGCCAGACCAGGAAGAAAACCCAAAGCAGGGCTGTCCTCTTCCCTGTGCTACTTTCACCTAAGGTCACGGAGGGCGGTGGTGCCTGCTTGTGCCAAGGAAAGTTAAGCAGTAACTGCAGGTGGCAATGAGCAAGCCGTGGGTGATGGAGGGGCCAGGGAGATCACCATGCAAAGGGCATTCAGGTACCGCTCACCCAGAGTCCCTGCTGGTCCCTCTCCAAAAGCCTGTGGTGTCCCATGCAGGGACACAGGCCAAGGGTAGAGGACCATGCTGGGGGTTCCAGCTACTCCAGCGCAGGAGGGCACAGTTGAGGGCTGGCACAGGGGCAAGGTGGGCAGCGTGGGCGGGCTGCTGGCAAGGGTGCTGTGGCAGGGTGGGCTTCTGGAGGGGCCAGCGGTGGCTCTGGCAGTGAGGGGTGAGTGCTGGTTCTGTTAGACAAGGAGGGAGCATCCGCAGGCAGAGGGCCTGTGGGCGGCAGGCTCTCCTATGCGGGACAGGGCAGGGGCCGGGGTCTCTGGGGGAGATGCAGGATGCCAGGGTGGGCCGGGGCAAGGAGCAGGCGTGATCCCCGGGTGGAAGGGTGCAGCGGGGAGGGGTGGGGCAGAGGGCTCCCCTCGGCAGAGGAGGGGGCCGGCGCGGCCGCACGGCCGGGACAGATCCCGGCGGGCCGGGGCGGAAGGGGCGGCTCTGTCCGGCCCTGCCCGCACCTCCCGGGGCCGCCCGCGCCGTGGGCTCGGTGCGGAGCCGTGCCGAGCTGGGGAGCTCCGCCCGCCGCGACGTGACCCCCGGGGCAGCTGCCCCGCGTCCACCGGGTGCGTCCGCGGCACAACCGGGAGCGACCCCCGGCCCCTCCCCGCTCCTGCCCCCGGCTGCGGCTCCCGGAGCTCCGGCGGCGGGGCGGGGGATGGAGCCACGCGGCGTGGGAAAGCTCTGCGGGGAGCGGGGATGAAGCCGAGAGGGCGCCCAGCCTTGGAGAAAAAATGCTGTCTGTGGGGGCCGGGAGGCTGTTCATCGCTTGGGGGGACCGGGACGCGTGTGAAAAATGCTGGGTTTGCCGCAGTGCCCCATTTGGGAAGGTTTTTAGATGCAAAACCTGCTTCTGTGGCTACAGCTGGTTTGTGTTGAAATTGTGAACGGCTCAACGCGCCCCATCCCGAAGGGATGCAGATGGTGTGGGGCGGAGCGGGCGGGACGGCTGCCCTCGGGATCACCCCGGGCCACCCAGCTCCTGGGCTGGGGCAGGAGGAAACCAGCATGGGCAGGGAAGCTTAGCGGAGGGCGAGGAGAGGGACTCTTCCCGATGCCTGAGTCGGGACAGGTCGCTGGTGACTCTGCCCCGGAGGCGGCCCGAGGTGGCCGGGTGCCAAGAGCCGTAAGGGGCAGGGTGGGGCGATCCCGGCATCGCCTCCTGCCCCGGCAAACAGCTTGTCAGCAGTCGTCGCTGAAACTTAAACAAACCACAGACCTGGGCACTGGCACGGTGCGGCCGGACCCTGCCGCAGCCGTGGGCGCAGAGAGGTGTCAGAGGACAGGGTGAGTGCTCTGAATCCGTTTTATCCCTCACAGCCCCCGGTCCCTCCTGCCTGGCTTCCCACCCACCCCACTGCTCACAGGACTCCCCATCCTTCCTCGGTGCTCTCCCGCAGCTCTTTTCTTCCGGGCAGGACCGGGCAGGTGCTTGATTTTTTTCTCTCTGCATTTCCTGGTCGGAGGCAGGGCAGGCTGGGTGGTCCCGTGCCCCGACGACACCAACAGCTCCTCCCGGTGCCCAGGTGTCCACAGGAGCTGCTGCGATGGAGCTGGGGAACATCTCGAAGCCCACGTACGGCCCTGGCCCGGAGGCGCCGGGGAGCAGCACGCCAGGGCTGGTGACAATGGCACACGGCTTCCTGCGGCTGGTGCAGCCCAACCCCCTGCCCATAGGTGGGTGCATGGCGGCGGGGGGCTGGCAGGGCTGGGGGGATGCTTGGGTCCCCGTTAAACATGAGCCCTCCTGCAGTGCTGACTGTCCGTCCAGCATTTAAACACTGGGTTACTGGCTGAGGAGGGATATGGCTGGGGTAATCAGGAATGGGATCCCAAGGATTGCCTCCTGTGTCCTGCTCATGTCCCATAACAACTGTGGGGCTATCTTAGCTGGGCCCCAGGACAGGTGTTAGTGGTAGTGCTGCCTTGCAGACTCCTTTCCCATTCTCCCTCCAGGTACCTTAATCCTAGGCCCCCAAAGTGTGCAGAGCAAACCCACTCTGCCTGCAGGGTCTTTGCCTGCCTTGCAGCCCCCTGTGTTTGCTGGCCGCCAAGAGCAGTGTGTCCCAGTGCCAGTGGCAACACTGTGGGCTCTCCCTGTGCACTGCCCTGCTTGCCAGCACTTGTCCTTGCTCCTGTTGCTGTCACAGCTCTGTCCTGAAGCAGCTGCAGGTTTGCACAGGTGATACCAGGGCCCTGCAGCTTCTCGATATTCATGGGGCAAGTACTTCCCACCTGGAGGGAAATGCCACTCCGGATGCTGCCACTTGTATTTCCTCCTTCACTGGCTTCAACCCTTGCTCACCATCAATGTGCTAGCAGAGGTGTGGCTGGCACGCATGGCTTTATGGACTTGTGTCACATAGACACCAGGGTATATGTGCCCCAAGTGCTATTAAGGCTTGTATTGAGGGCATGGGGCACAGGCAAGGAGAACCCTGGGAATGAAAGAGGCAGCATGGCAGTGGGCCTTTGCCCCAGTACTCATTCCTCACTGGCAGTGCCCTTGGCTATCTGTGTGAGGCTGGGCTGCAGCAGGGCAGCCCCATGGGTGGTGTCCCTTATGCCCACTGTGGCGAGGAACCCCCTTGTTCTGTGGACCCCTGGGAGCCTTGGGGCTGGCAGCACTTTTCCTGTGTGCAAAAATGCTGCATGATGTGATGGCTGGGGAGGGCAGCTGCAAGGGAGAAAAATGCCATACTCTGAGCTGGTCTGAGATGCAGGTGATGCCTCAGGCTGAAAGTGCCTCTGTGGGGTGAGCAGGGTCTGGGGCCCTCTTGGAGAGCCCCATAGGGCCCAGCACCTGCTCACAGCCCTCTGTGCTTCTTTTCTCCCAGATATGATTAATTTTGGGCAATCCCAGAGTGAGTCCAGCTGGGAGGACATCCACGAGGTGAGCAGGCAGCTGAGGTGGGGAGCTGACAGCCCCAGACCACCGTGTACTGGGGGATGCTGGTGGTGCTGCTCTGAGGCTGAGCCCTGGATGCTGGGCAGCAGCGAGGGGAGGCGTTCTGCTCCCTGGGGGGACCCATTTTGTCTGTTTGGGTCTGGATAGGGTGTGCAGAGCTGAGGAGCCTTCAGGGCTCAGCGTTATGCTGCCTCTCATTCTACCTATCCCAGCTGCTGCTCTATGAACTGGGTTTCCTCGTCTGTGCGGCCATTGGAATCCTGCTCGTCATCCTCGTGCCGCTGGTGGGATGCTGCTTCTGCTGCTGCCGCTGCTGCGGGCACTGCGGGGGCCGCATGTACCAGAAGCAGGGCCGGCGGATGGGCTGCCGGCGCCGGGCGTTCTGGACCTCTGTCCTGCTGCTCTCCGCTTTCCTCCTGTGAGTGCGTGGCCGGGAGGCTCCGGATGGAACCCGGGGGTGGCTGGAAATGCCGGCGCTCTGCGGCCGTGCCAGGAAACTGCCATTGTTCACGAGCAGATCCCGGCACGGCGGGACAAAGGAGAGGAAGGCCGGCGGTGGGAAGCTGGCCCCGGGGGGCTGCGCATTGGCACCGCGCAGACCTTTCCCGAAAGCTTCCCCAAGGTGTACCGGGCTCCCCCGTGCCTCAGTTTCCTGTGTCCCTCCTCTCTGGTCCCTCAGTGCAGGGCACTTGCTGGGATGCTCCAGCAAGTGTGCACACTCACTGGTGTGCTCCAGACCCTGCAGGCTGGGGTATGTGTGGGTGGATTTGGAGAGTATTGGGACTGAACTCCCCATATGCTGACCCTGCCACCCTTCCCTCGCAGGGCTGGTGGTGTCTGTGCCCTCATCAGCAATGCCCGCTTCTCCCAGGCTGTGAAGAGTACCTTCCCCAATGTGAACAACACTCTGCATGACGTCCACACCTACGCGGCCTCCATCCCCCAGGCACGCATGGTCCCCCTGCCACGTCTTGGGGGCAAGGGGCCAGGCAGGAGGAGCAGCCCAAATAGCCCCCTGGGGAAGGGCAACAGAGGGGCTGGCAGCAGAGAAAGGTCCCCACCCTCACTGACACCACATGTCTGTCCCTACAGCAAGTCGATTTTATCATCAGCAGGAGCGATGTCCCGCTGGACTACGCCAACCACAGCCTCCAGGGTGAGGGTGTGCGATGGGAGGGGCTGGAGCATCCCCATGGTTCTGTGGCGAGCTGCTCCAGGGCTGGGGGTTCTTGGGCAGTGGGGTGTGGTATGGGTTTACCTTTCTGCCCTGTGGATGGTTGCTGACCCTGTGGGCCACTGGGCTGGTTGTTATGGGGATGTCTAAAGGGACTGGGTCTGGAGGCTCTTCCAAGCTCCAGCTCTGCCCCAGTTGCTGCTTTTCTTCATTCAGGCTCCTCTCTGGGAAGGGTGATGCAGGTGGTGCGAGGGTGGGGAGGTTCCCATTGCCCCCCACCTGGAGGGTGGGTGAGGGAGGGGTGCTGGTGGTGTCAGTGTTTTCACCAGCTTTCCTGCAAGCCCCAGGACCTTGCAGGGATCCTGTCATTGACATCACCTCTCCCATCTCTGCAGACATTGGGCCCAACCTGGGCGCTATGATCACCTTGCGCATCAGGAGCAGCATGGACGGGGCTCTGGGATCTCTCCAGAACCTTTTGCATGGTACTGGCCCCATCCCTGGGACTCTGGCAAGGGACTCAGGGGGATGTTGGAACCAAGAGATGGGGAGTAGGTGCATGTTTGGGTAAGGCTCCCTTGGAGGTGGATCCCTTTGGCCTCCCAACCACATGCTGGGGCAAGTGCCATGACTTTGAGGGCACCCCTATGTTGCATTTTTTCGTGGGTTCCCGAGGTTCAGTTGGGTGAGAATGAGTCCCTGCCCCACTGGCAGGATGAGGCCCTGAGGTCCCCACTATCTCCCCAGGGATGGAGACACTGAAGGACACCTTTGGCAACATTGCCATCAGTCGCTCAGACCTCGAGGAGCTGCAGGGCAACTACAGCCAGCGGTTGATCAGCCTGCAGGACAAGCTCAACCACACCCTGCGGAACTGTGGCCTCCCCTGCAGCCATGTGTCCCTGGATGGGCTCACCTTCACTGCCAACTTCAGCATGGTGAGGAGGGACAAGGTGCAGGTGGGGGGCCCCAGCAGCCCCTGGCCCAACCCCTACCGCTCCCTCACCCCAGGCTCTTCCCTGCAGATCCCAGGTGTGGAGCAGCAGCTGGAGGCCCTGCGTGAGGTCTCTGACTCAAACATAGAGACTGATTTAGAGGAGGTAAGGGGTGTTCCCTTCACCCAGTCACAAAGCTGGGTGCTCCTGCAACTGCTGGGGCTGTGCTGATGGGGAATGGTGTGGGAAGAGCTCTGTCAGGAGTTCAGTGTGTGACATGGAGGGAGGGGCTGGCCAGAGGTCTGCTTGCTGTCCCAACCATCCCTGCACACTGGTAGGGTGGCCTGGGTGCTGTGGGGAGCCTGGCTGTCCTGTGCTACTAGAATCTGGGGACAAGGGGATGTTCTGCTCAGCCCTGGGGTTGTAGGCAGGGATGTGAGTTTCATGCTGTGCTCCCCTGGATGCAGGTTAACAGAACACTGGAGATGATCCCTGACAAGGTACGAGAGCAGTCCCAGGAAGTGGTGGCAAGTAAGTAGGGCTTTGTGTGCTGACTTCTCCCTCTTCTAGGGTTCCCTCCTCCCTTCTCAAGCCAATCTTTCCTGGAGACCTTCCCTGCAGCCCTGGCTGTCCCCAGGTGCCATCATGCCAATGTCATCCTTGGCCAGGACTACCCCTTTCCTATCCTTTCTGAGTCCTTGCTGCCTAGGTGGCAGCTCACAATGTCAGCGTGTCCCCGTCTCCTTGCAGAGAGCCAGGACCAGCTGGGCCTCATCAGGCAGGAGATCAGAAGCTTGCAGGAAGAGTTGCCGCTCCTGGATGTGGAGGAGAAAGTTGAGGCCTTCGTGAATGATGCCACATCAGTGTTGGAGGAGTACAGGGAGCCAGTCATTGCCTGGGATGGGCTCAGGTAAGTGAGAGACTGCTGGTCCTGGCTCCATTGTCTGGAGAGTTTTAAGGCTCCTGCTCCTCCAGTTGCTGGAGGTGGGGGCTTGCTGGGTGGTGGAGTTGTGGGTACAGGGTGGTCAGAGCTGTGCCCACCAGACACACGTGCCCCTTCCCTGCTGTGGTGTCTGGGACCTTTTTTCCTCCCCATGAAGGCAGCTGTGGGCTGTAGGGTGCTGCTCAGGGTCCCAGGCTCTGCTACCTGACTCCTGCCCTTTGTCTTCCCTAGGTTGATTGTGTGTACCCTTCTGTGCTGCACAGTGCTGCTGGTGGTCCTCTGCAATGTTTTAGGGCTGCTGCTGGGGCCCCTGGGGCTGAAGGAAGGTGTGCTGCCCACACAGCGCAGCAGCCTCTCCGATGCTGGCGGGAACTTCTTCATGGCGTGAGGCTCAACTGGCTGCCAAGGACATGTGTGGGAGCAGTGGGATGGGTGGGCAGGGCTGGCCTGGGAATGCTCGAGCTCCTAAATCATCATGTTACTGCAGCTGAATGGCCTGCCCCATGGCAACTCCCTGTGCAGGTGGTAAACTGAAGGCCAAACGTGGTGCTGGTGAGAGGCATTCAAGGGGAGCCCATTTGCCCCGCGATGGCGAGGGCTGGCAGTGTGTGCGTGGGTCCTGCAGCTCTGCGGGGGAGTGCTGGCTTGCAAAGCTGTGGGAAGCTATTCTGGAATCCAAGCTCCAGGGTAGAGCCCAGTCATGCTCTGGGGTCTGAAGGCAGAGCAGAGACAAGTTTGTGGGAAGGGTGGTGTTCCCACAACTGTGGGGATGAGGGGTGTGTAACCCCTGGGCTCTGTGAGCCGGAGGCAATGCCAGCATCAGTGCTGGGCCACAGGACTGCTGGTACTGATGGCATTTCTGTCCTGGCAGAGGGGTTGGCTTCAGTTTCATCTTCTTCTGGCTGCTCATGCTGCTGGTGATGATCATCTTCGTGCTGGGGGGGAACATTTACATGCTCTTCTGTGAGTCCTGGCACAACCAGCAGCTCTTCCAGGTAAGCTCGCTGTGGGGAAACAGCCCTGCCTGGAGATACTGCTTCCTAAATGAGGGCTGCTGGTGGAGCAGAGGCAGCACTGGCCATTTAGGATTTTCTACCAAGGTGTCCTGCTCTGTACTGTGTCTAGTTTCTCCATCTCTTTCCTTGCTCTTAGCTCCTGGACACCCCTGGTGTGATCCCAAACTTCAATCTCTCAGAGCTGCTGGGCCTGAAGGGTGACACGGCAAACTTCTCAGAGATATACAGGTGGGTCCCAGCCTTGACACTGTGCCTTTGGTGGGGGTAGAGCTGCTCAATGCCCTCAGATGCTCTCCAGGAGCAGGACAGCTTTCCCTACCTTCCCAGGCTGTGGGTAGGCACTGATTGCAGGGAAGGAGCAAGGTGCAACCTACCTGCACAGGTGAGGACATGTTCCTGGGACGGGGTGGTCCTCGCCTGCCCTGTTTTCAACCCTATGCCCCCATCCTGCAGGCAGTGCCAGCAAGATGCTTCCCTGTGGCAAACTCTGCACTTGGACCAGAGCATGTCCCTGGATGAGCTCTTGAATATCAGCCAGGTGAGCATAGGGGTGCCAGCATCTTGAGGACAGGGATCCAGACCAAAAGCTGAGGGGACAGTGAGGTGCCGGCACATGTCCCATCGTGGTCCCCTTTGCTCTGGCAGTACACAGGAAACATCTCCACAGTTTTTGAGAAGATGAACATCACCCTAAGCCCCGTCTTCCTGCTCAGCCAGAGCCAGAAAGACCTGCTGCTGAATGCCAGTCGGGCCGGACAGCCCCCCAACTTCACCCTCACCCTGGAGCAGGTGTGCTGGGTATAGCCTGGTCTTGGGATTGGGGGGCTTGCATGTGGATTGGGGACGTCTACTGCTGTCTCCTTTGCTGCTGTGGGAGTCCTCTGCCATCTGTGTAACTCATTAGGGTAACTAGGCACATCCTCTGCCCAGAAGGCCCTGGCTCCACTCTGCCCCACAAAGAAGGGGTATAGCTCCCCTTATGAACCCCTTTTTTCATTCTCATAGCTGTCTCTGCCTTTTCCAGCTGGATCAGAATATGACCCAGGGAAGCCTCCTGGATCTGGCTGCAGAGTTGGAGCAGCTGGCAGAAAAAGTGGTGAGAGACTATGACATTCCAGGGCCATAGCCACCCTGTCCCAAAGACACTGGTTGCAGGGCTCTTCTGTGCCTGCCTGAGTGTTGGAGGGAGGCCCTTTACTCTCACCCAGCTCTTTTCCCCAGCCTGGCCCATCAGCTGGCTGTGGTGAGGCACAGAGTTGGGCACTGCTGACTGCGGCTCTTCCAGGGCGCGGATGAGAAGGTGGCCCTGGAAGATAACGCTCGCGAACTGAGGGAGCTGGAAAAGGAGATGCAGGCGAGCTTCTCTGGGCCACTGGTGAGCAGTGCTGGGGGATGTCCTGGGGATGCTGGGTTGGACTTCCCTAGAGCTCAGAGCCTGCTGGCAGGGTCTTATGTGAGCTGTGGGGTCTGCACCTCTGACCCCCCTTCCCTCTGTCCCCAGCAAAGTCTGAAGGAGAACATCCACTCAGTGCAGCGTGGGGCTGCCCAGCTAGAGGTAAGCTGCATCAGGGTAGTGCATACCAGTCCCAGGCACCCTTCAAAGCACCCTCGAAGTCCTGCAGTGGAGGTGGTGGGACTAACTTGCAGTCTGAGGGGCTGCTATGGGACTCTTCGTGTGCTGCAGGGGCTGTTCATAGGGTAGAGGGAGAGAGGCCATGGACCCTGCCAGGTGCAGGCTCCCTCTGCCTGGGGTACTTGGCGCTACCAGTGTGTGACTGCTGGGAACACCACAGCTCTGAGAGGCTGTGCCCCAGGGATAGCTGCTGTGCAGGGTTGGTGAAGTGCAGAAACCCCACTTAGATCACACTGCTGACAGCACCTTTCACCTCAGGGACAGACAACAGCTGCGCTGGACAAAGCCAGCAAAACCCAGGAGTTCCTGGAGAGGGAGACACCAAACATCATCAAGAATGTGAGCTTTCCTTGCCCTGCTGCCAGGTCACACGGAGCAGACCCCCTCACCAAGACCTCCCTCTATATAGGGAAGCCAAACCTTGTCTGGCTGTTTGTCCTGCACCCCTGGGTCCCCTTTCGCTTATGGCATCCCCGGCAAGGGATGTGGGCGGGGTGAAGCATTCAGCCCTATTGCTGCTGGGCTGAGGTGGTCTGAGAGCCCTGACCCTGACATGGAGGGGATATGGGGCATGGAGGGGGATGGTGGGGCAACATCACTCTATGCTTGCCCCTTCAGGAGACATGGGCCTTCCTGGAGCAGCTGTTGGATTTCTTTGAAACCTACATTTCATGGGCCAAGAGCAGGGTAAGCTGAGCTTTCCGTAGTGAGGTGGAGAGAAGGAAAGAATGAGCTCCGAGGCTTGGTGGATGCTGACATATGCTGTGCCCACCATGTCCCCAGGTGACAGAAGATGTGGCACGTTGCAAGCCCATAGCTCAGTCCTTGGATAATGTGGAAGCCATTGGCTGTGACTATATCATGGACTCTGTGGTGAGTGGAGCAGTGGTGTGTAGAGTGACACACGTGTGTGGGGTGGCAGTGAAGTCCTCTTGTTGTCCTCATGCACAGGATGAGGGATGCAGGGAAGGATCAGGGATGCACAGGGAACAGCGCTCAGCTTCTGCTCAGCAAACTGCTGTGGCTAAGAGGAAAGGCTGGGCTCTGAGAAGCAGTGAGTGGTTATTGGGGAGTGCTGGGAGCAGAAGAGATGCTCCCAGTTGTTCTCTGGACCTAATGGCTCTTCCTCCACCCCATGCAGAATGCCTTCTGGTTCAGCCTGGGCTGGTGCACCTTGTTCCTGCTGCCCAGCATCATCCTGGCTGTCAGGCTTGCCAAGTTTTACCGCCGCATGGATATTGCTGATGTGTATAGGTGAGGAGCAGCCCCACCCCCTGTGACTACGCTGGGTCTGGGGTCCCCCTGCCACATGTCCCTTCATGTCCTGTGGCAGCCTGTGGGGCTCAGGCCAAAGTAATGTGGGTTGGGGAGAACCTGAGAGGTGGCTTGGGGCCCTCAGCATCTGAAGATGGGCATGTTCTGGAGTTTTTCTCTGCCTGCTCTGAACCTCCCATTTGGGTGGACAAAGGTGCATCCCCTTTGGAGGAAGGAGCAAGGCAGGGCTGCAGCCCCAGCCTGGCTCAAGTCCACCCCGTGACTTGCTCTGTTTTGCACCATTTTTTTGCTGGAGCACTGGCATGGGAGCACAGCTGGATGCTGGGCAGAATGCAGTGTGCTGCATGGTTGGTGTCATGCCATGAGGGTGCAGTGCTTGTTCACGTGCCTGTGGCCACTGGTGTCCTGGGGCTGCCTGGCACCTCCATCACCAGGACAGGCACTGACCCCTGAGGGTAGTGAGCAGTTTCTAGCTGGATTTCCATTTCCATCGTGGCCCTGTGGTGCAGCTGTTGTGCTGGGGGTTCCCCAGCTCCTCTGAGCTGGCTGGAGCCATGGGCTCAGCTGCCCAGGAACCTCAGGGAGCTGAAGTTGAGGTATAGGGATCTGGGTGCTGCTGAGCCACTGAGTGTGGGGCTCTGCCTGCCTGGGGAAGGAGCACTGATGCTCTGGGGCCTGTAAGAGCCCATGCTCTCTTCAGATCAGGCAGATAGGGTGGAGGGGACCACAGCACCCTGAAGCCTATGTGCTCTCCCACAAGGCATCTTCTTGCCCCACTAACACTGTCCCCTCATTTTTCTCTCCTCTAGGAATGAAGACTTTGAGATGTAAGCTACTTACACTGCCAGGTCCCTGTGTGGGGTGGGGGGCAGCCCCCATGTAACACAGGGGCATCAGGGGACAAGAGGGAGGGGGGTGGGGACCAGGGCGAGTGCAGACCAAGGAGTGTGCATGCAGTTGTGGTGTCCCCTATCATCTTCCCACACTCCTAAGTCTGGAGGTGCTGCTGGTCTCAGTCTCTCAAGCTGCTGGGTCTGGGGAAAGCTGTCTCCATACCCTATTTCCTGTGGGGCTGGGTGGGATGATATTTGACCATCCCAGTGCATCTGGAGCTGTCCCTTGATCCCCTCTCTGGCTGGGGGTGACATATGTGACCTTGGTTTTGCAGGCCACCAACATTCTACTCCTACAAAATCCCCAGGCCTTCTACAAGGCATTAACTCCCATCACCCACAGATGGAGGAGGAAATGGACAGACCCCCTCACTTGAAAAATGTGATTATTTATTTTTGCAGGGAGCCTACCTCTTTCCAAGGCTGTAATTTTTGGTGTCAAACAATAAATGGTGTGTTTGTGTGCAGTGTTGGAATGTGACTGTGCTCCTCAGGTCTAGCAGTGATGGAAGTACACAGGGCTAGGGGCTGAAGGACTCCCCACTGCTTGCACAAGCTGAGGCTGTGCCTGGGACCAGAGGGCTCTTTGTGGTGTTCCCAAGTGTGCTTTGCCCACAGCCAGCCTATGGGTTGATACAAGATCACTGCTCAGTGTCACTAAGACTGAGTGATGTTCCCCTCACTGGGCAGCCCTTTGCACCTCTGACTGGGTGAGTGCCAAGTCCCTCCCTGGGACAAGCTACACAAAGTCTCCTGTCCATGAAGTGTTACCCCAAGCTGTCCCCAGCACATGAGCTCTTCCCTCTGGCATAGATACCCTAGTATGTATCATCTGTGGATTTCCAGTGAGTTTATGTGGTGCCTGCAGCCCACACCCCCTTCCCTCAGCAAGATATGGTGGCATGGATATTTTCTGTGGCCATCCCTGCACACGCCATGCTCTGCACAGAAAGAGCTGCATGCAGAGATAAACCAAGGGCAACTTGGTCTAGTAGAGCCTTGGGGTGAGTCCAGGCATTGCTTTGTGCTGCTCCCTGGTGCAAGTGCAAGGACCATCCCAAAAGCCGTGTCAGGCACAAGGGATATACATGAGCAGCTTGACTCATTTCCTTTGTTGCAAAGTCCAAGTTTCTTTGGAGCAGAATGAGAGGGCCAGGCCGCTCCCCCTCCCCTATGTGCATCTCTTCTTATTGCTTTTTCCACTTGCCTTCAGATCTAATTGCTAGTTTCTCCTTCAAGCTTTATCTGAAACTGCACGGGTCTTACCTCCTGCTGTCTCCCGCAGCAGTCTGACTGCAGAGAGAGCCCTGTGCTTGCCTGTCAGTCAGCTGAATCTGTCCTTCACAATGGTTTGGCCCCTGCTTCCCCCAGGCTTTCCCACCCTTCCTGGTTCTTGGAGTGAGATATCCAGCAACCCCCTGGAAAGCATTCAGCTCTGTTTTGCCTTGTTTTCCTCTCCACTGGACCCTCAGCCTCCAGAATTCTGACTACTACCTGTTTGTCTAGAGCCCATACATGGAGGCTTCTGCTCCCAAGTCTCAGGCTGTCCCTACTGCATCATTTTCCCCGCTTCCTCTTCCCTTGCTGTGCCTCGGGGATGCCAGCTCACACAGGACTGCTGCTGGCTTCAGTTTCTGCTTTCTGGCTTTGTGGGAATTGCTTCTTCCCTGCTCTGCTTCTCTGCAGAGCCAGTGCTGGAAGGCAGGGAGCTTGACCCTTATTCACTGTGGCTACCAGCACCCAAACACAGCCCTGGAAATGAAGATGTCGTCCCCAAATGACTGCACAGCCTTTGCCAAGGTGTGGGGCCTGCTCTCAGCAGCTCCCCATTCAGTGCAGCTCCAGGGCAGTGTTCCAATCCTTGGAGCCATGGCTCTAAGTGGTGCTGAGGTCCATCCATCATCCTCCTCCTGAGCAGCCCTGGGAGGTGGGTGAGACCAGTGTCAGGCAAGGCCAGCAGCTGCCTGGAGAGGAGGCAAGGACAGCTCAATACAAAATGCTCACAGTGGATGCCACCACCTCTCCTTTCAGGCCACGCTCCTTCCGCTCATGGTTGTGGCAGCTGCCAGAGTGAGAGGGAAACTCACAGTGTCCCATGGCCACAGCACAAGGCTGTCTGGCTTCATCCCCCTCCAAGGAAGGTCTCATCAATAACCAGCCAGTTTCTAGGGAACCATTGCAGCAGTTCCTCTTCCTCTTTGCCCGGCCTTTTTCCACCACAGGGACTTTCCACAGCCAAGCCCTTCTCTGGGGGAGACTCTGCCACATCTTTACAGTAGATTCCCAAATAATAATCTCTCCAACGACAGCTCTGACACTTTGCCTGGCAGCAGGATTTTGCTGGGCCAGCCAGGTGTTCTCTGTTGCTAGTTTTCCTAAAAAATAAACAATTTGCAGCTCTTGAAAAAAAAATCCTCCCTTCCACAACTCTCTGCTGGGCCCAGCCACAGCCATGCACAGCCTGGATGGCTCTTCCCTGCGGCACACACGCTCCAGGCTGCCCGTGCAGACTCCTGCCTCCATGGCTTCACAGTGCTAAGCAGCCGAGTACCACAGAGGGAATGGGCTACCTGGGCATGCTCTCTGAGCCCAGCTGTACCAGTTGTGAGCCATGCTGGGCAGCACCAGAGAAATGAGCCTGGCCATTTTTCACTAGAGGCAAAACAAGACTGCCCTCCTCCTGAGGGTGTGTACCCTCAGAACATTCACCACCACGACCTCAGCAGTGCTTTAGGAACTTTTATTTTTAAAAGGAGTCTGTCTTCCACACTTAAGACCACTCTCAAGAGGATTAATGTAGGTGAACTTCCCACAGCCCAACAAGGCAACAGACACCTCCTTTACACCACAGCCCAGAATGCAGAGGCAAAGCCACAGCCAGGGTCTCTCTCCTGGTGGAGGGGGCCAGGCAGTGGGCACCTGAGAGAGGCTGGATCTTCCTGCACAGACTGCTCTCAAATTACATTGATTTTGCAAACAGAGGCACAATATGAGCCAGACAACCCTGACAAAGCCCCTTTGTATGCAAAGGGCAAAGGTAGAGGAGATGGGAACAGAGGGCTCGGGTGTCCTGCAGCATAATCTAAGCTTCCACAAAGGAAAGGGAAAGGCAGGGCCAGCGCCAAGCTCACACAGGCTGCTGCAAGCTTCTCAGCTCAGAAGAGAGTTTGGGTACTGTCTGGGACAGAGAGATAAGGGAATTAGGCTGCTCTTTTCAGCTAAGTAGCTGCAATCAGTCACAGCTACAGGACTGATCCCAGAGGAATTGTGGCGAGACAAAGTGTGGAGTGCTGCAACTGCCAGCATGTGTGCTGGGACCCCCCGTGCCATGGAGCTGTGCCACTCTGGCATTTAGCATCTGACTGAGCCCAAAGCAGCAGGACTCAGTGACCCAGCTGCAAGAAACATGCCCTGTTTCTCACAGGCTGAGCTTAGAGGTACCACCCAACTCACTGAGGAGAGAATGGGGCGGAAAGACTGCGTATCCCGGCCTACCACTGCACCACCAGTACTGGAGGATCAGGGAAGAAGTGGAGTTAAAAGGGAGCCAAACAAACCAAAAACAAAGTGCTTTGGGCAGGGAGCAGTTCTGTAGTCCTGTAGTATAGCCAGTGTTTTCATCTGCAAATGCACCTGGCATTTGCTCCTCCACTGGCACACACACAATTGCACTTGCTAGGAATAACCAGAAAGCCTACCCTGGCTAAGAGGAGATCCCCCAATCCCAGCCACCCAACAGGCTCTTCGAGATGCTGCTGCAGGGATGCTTCAGAAGGGAGCAGGCTTCTGTACTGCCAACACAGGATTTCCCCTCCTTGTGCACCCAGGGCTTGGGATGACATTGTCCTTCCCTGCTTCATACACTGTCATCCTGTACCAGTGCTGAGGGCGACAAAGTCCTTGCCATGGATGGCTGAGGAACATCATCAGCCACAGCTTTTGAGGGGATTTTGTGCTCTCGGGGTGGGGTGGGAGGAGGGAAGGTGGTGCTCTGCAGGGCATCTGAGTACATCTCATCCTGGACACTGGGACGCTGCAAAACCCTTTGCAGCAGTGGCTTAAGCAAGCCCACAGTCAGCTGGTTCCCCTCACTGGAGAAAGGCACTGGGTCCTCCTGGGAATGGGGGAGGTGCTCCAGGACCATGGTGAGGATGTCTGAGGCAGTGAGCTCAGCAGGGCACAATGGCCAGAGCCTGTCCAGGTAAGGGTCCAGCTCCCGGTGCTGGGCAAACTCAGCCAGCAGTGTGATGAATATCTCCTTGTTAAGCAAGGGGCTGAGTTTGGAGAACTTCTCTGCCACCTCCACCACCCTCTGCCACTGCTTCAGATGGATGAGAAGGTGCAGAGCTTGCAGCACGGCCTTAGGCCTCTTGCTGCAGAGCAGCAGTTCCAGCTCCATCTCATCATCTGCCTCGCTGTGTTTGCTCTTTCGGGCCAGCACTCCCAGTGCTCTCTTGTACAGAGGCACCCGGCCCTCTGGGCCCTCCTTGCTGCTGTATGACCAAGAGCTGCTAACATACTGCTGGGTCAGCTCTACAAAGCTGGGCAACCACTTGGGTTTGAACCTCAGGAAGGAGGCGCAAATGAGCTCAAAGAGTGGGACCATCCCATTCTGACCCACCTCCTCCAGCTGCGGCTGACACAGGACCTTCTTCCATACCTCTGGGGTGGCCCTGGCTACCAAGAGGCCATCCCCATTCTGCTGCAGCTGGAGGCAGCTCCTTATGGCTTTCCAGGCAGCCTTGGGGAAGGAGGCAAAGACAGAGTTCAGATAGGCCAAGTTGTCCTTGTCCATGTCAGACTGCAGAATGCGGCTGACCTCCTGCTCCACCAGCTCCTTGCAGTAGCTTTCCACCTCACTCTCTGGGGCACACACCACGCAAGTCTTGAGGAGCTCCAGGCTCATGTAGCTCTGCAGCTCCAGGCTCATTGTGCTCAACAGCTTGGCATAAGTGTCTTGTAGGCCTTGGGCTGGCTTCTGCTTCTGGTGGAGGTTGTGCTGCAGGATGGCAGCGAGGACCACAGGAGCCTGGAACGTACCACCTTTCTTCAACTTCTCCACTGTCAGCTTGGAGCTGCTGAGGCTCCTCCTCTGATAATATCTGCAGGCCTCCTCAAACACCATCTCCACTAGGCATGGCTCAGGCCTGCTACTGTCCTCAGGTTTGGAAAAGCTAAAGCTGTAGATGCCAGTCTGACTGAGGAGCTGGATATTGTCCTCCTCTCCCTGGGACTCCAGGAAATGCACCTCTTTCATGCTCAGGACTTCCTTTTCTACAAGCCTTCCACTGTTCTGGTCAACAAGATACAGTACTCCAGCCAGCACACAGGCCAGGATGCTGCCAAAGGTCTTCAGCTGGAC